ACATATTCGTCGCTAAACAAGGTCACGTAAACTAGTAAAAGTAATAATAATGCGTCATTAAGGGGTGGATCAGTTTGTCTTCAACATATTATTGTACTAGAGGGAGTCGTAGTGTACTTCGAGAGCCAAACCCTTAACCGCCTCACCAAGTGGACGTATCGAAAAAAAAATCAGAAAAATAAATTGCTGTTTTTCTATCCAATTAAGAACACAAAGGTGTGTTGAGTCGGTCATATCTATCATGTATTGTGTCTCGCTATTGATGTGTTCAGCGAGCGTTGACACTGTGCGTTTAAGTCTGTGGTGTGGACAGGTGTGTTCAGCGTGGACAGGTGTGTTCAGCGTGGACAGGTGTGTTCAGCAGCGAACAGGTGTGTTCAGCGTGGACAAGAGTGTGTTCAGCGTGGACAGCATGCGTTAATGACTGTAAATCTGTCTGCTCCACGGTATCTATCGATCTATCTATTACATGAACGTGACCATCTATCGATCTATCTATCCTGAACGTGACCATCTATCAATCTATCTATCACCTGAACGTGACCATCTATCTATCGATCTATCACCTGAACGTGACCATCTATCGATCAATCTATCACCTGAACGTGACCATCTATTGATCTATCTATCACCTGAACGTGACCATCTATCGATCTATCTATCACCTGAACGTGACCACCTATCGATCTATCTATCACATGAACGTGACCATCTATCGATCTATCTATCACCTGAACGTGACCATCTATTGATCTATCTATCACCTGAACGTGACCATCTATCGATCTATCTATCACCTGAACGTGACCACCTATCGATCTATCTATCACATGAACGTGACCATCTATCGATCTATCTATCACCTGAACGTGACCATCTATCGATCTATCTATCACCTGAACGTGACCATCTATCGATCTATCTATCACCTGAACGTGACCATCTCTGGGTAAAATTAGTAAGTTTATGGGCGGCAGGTGTGAACTAAATTACTTAAGGAGGGGGGAGGGGGTCGTGGCGGAGTGAGCGCTGACACTGGTATTACTGGGCTGACACTGGTATTACTGGGCTGACACTGGTATTACTGGGCAGAAACAGGTGGAAATATGACTAAGCCTATGATTACCTGTTGCCTAATTAATACCAAGTCGTTTATAATTCAAGTTTTGTTAAGATAAACGCGATAATAAGCTGTCAGGTGGCGCCTAATTAATGATTTATGGAGGTAATTAACATCCTCAGGTACCACCCAGGTGTTGCCCCTCACCACGACCTCTGACCACCACAGTTAAGGGTTCCTGAATACCTGGAACGTGAGAAATGAATCCTGGAACGTGAGAAATGAATCCTGGAACGTGAGAAATGAATCCTGGAACGTGAGAAATGAATCCTGGAACGTGAGAAATGAATCCTGGAACGTGAGAAATGAATCCTGGAACGTGAGAAATGAATCCTAGAACGTGAGAAATGAATCCTGGAACGTGAGAAATGAATCCTGGAACGTGAGAAATGAATCCTGGAACGTGAGGAATAGTAATCTGCTGTTTAGAGAAGATAAACAAGAGTAGACACAAAGGTTCCCTGCTTCACTTAGGCTTATACTGTTAACCAATCACAATACAGACTGTGTCATTAGTTTGCCCGCAACAAATTCCACCCTCTTAATGCTAGTGAGGGTATAAACGTTCAGTGTGAGCTCAGGTAATGTGGGACGGTACAGGTGTAGGTGGTTAGACGGTTACAGGTATGGACAGGTGGGACGGTTACAGGTGTGGGCGGTGTACCTGCATGGGTCGTTGGAAACAATTATATACCTGTATTTATATGACAATTTAAATGTAATCCTTTCAAGAGCATCATCTCCGGCTGACAATAATCTATGCATCCCGGGACAGGATTCATAACACAATTGAACCAGCTTCAGTTTCGCTTTGGTCTGTGAATGACAAACCCTTAGTCTTCCTTTGATTACCCAGAGTAGAACCAGCGATGGATATTGACTGCTATGGACAGCTGGCAACCCTCAACATCCAATACGTTGTGCATTCGCTTTCCTAACCTAACCTCACCTAACAACGTTGCAACATTTCAAGAGTTTCCCGTAATCACCCGAAAGAGTACCCAACACACTCTTCGACTCGACCAACAAACCCAACAGCAACACGACCAGAATGTCATGAATTTACCCAAGTTGTTGAAATGTTTGAGAAGGCCAAACAAGTCTTTAACTATGTCGGCTGTATAAACCGTTTGTACAAGCTATCGTCCGTGCGTGTGTAGGTGCGTGGGTATGTGCCTCTGTGCGTGCGTGCGTGTATGATTGTGAGGAAAGAGATTGGGTGTGTCTGGTGGGCGTAAAGCGAGACACTGGATGCAACCGAAGAGTGACTGAAACGTTGAGTGCATTGAGTGTGTGAGAGGGAGTGTGTGAGAGAGGGTGAGAGGGAGTGTGTGAGAGAGGGTGAGAGGGAGTGTGTGCGAGAGGGTGTGTGAGTGTGAGAGAGGGTGTGTGAGTGTGGAAGAGGGTGTGTGAGTGTGGAAGAGGGTGTGGGAGAGGGTGTGTGAGTATGACTGAGTGTGTTCCAATCGAGTGCGAGATGGTGCGGGAGAGAGTGTGGTGTGTGTGTTCCCTGGATGTTATCGAGCGGGGAGGGAAGGAGGCAGGAGGACGAGAGAGAGAGAGAGAGAGAGAGAGAGAGAGAGAGAGAGAGAGAGAGAGAGAGAGAGAGACAATGTAACTGGAAGGATGGGGTCGAGGCTTCCAACAAGGCAATCAGTTAATACTTTGTTTTGGTACAGTTGTGGACAAAAACAATTCACCAGGAAGGAAGGAAGGAAGGAAGGAAGGAAGGAAGGAAGGCTTACATTTCCTTCCTCCCTACCGAATTCTTTGTCCACAACTGTACATAATCAATTCTATTTTACTGTATCCTTTCAAATTTAAATTATCACCTGTTTACTTTATTATCCCTTTTTTTCCGTATTTCAAAGCGCAAACTATTTTTTTTTTACCTTCGCCAACAAACATTATCCTCCCATATGTTTATTTCGTTTAATATATCTCTTATACATCTGAGAGTCAACAGTTATCGTCTGCAAATTGTTAGTATCACCCCTTGTTTATATAGCTTACGATACCACTAATTACCTTCTATGAATCCTATCAAATCTTCCCCTATTTTACGAACTAAAATTGTAATACTTTTTTTTTGGGGGGGGGGTCACTCGTTAAAGTTCTTGACAGGTGTGTGTCGGCTCTCTGGTCAGGTGTCCACAGCCTGTGTTACCTTCACATACAGGTGAATTATTTACATTTGAACGATATTTATGCAATTATCTGATTCCATAGGTATTCCCACACACACACAATAAAACATACTGTACACTCACACACACACACGCACACGCACACACACACACACTACTTTTACTCATCCATAACCCAAACATGATCAAACACTCGAGACAATCAGCAGCAAACATTCCAACCAGGCACTTAGCGAGGCTGACCTCAGGCAAACAACTCCTACACGCTCTAAAATTCCCTAAATTTGCAATTCCCTCCATGAAATTGACTTAAAGATAATTTACCACCGCCTCGTTTCCACTTATCGTATGACTCGCTGGGTCGAGATTACCGCTGCTAGATTGCTTGCCAGTGGCCATAGTGCACGGTGGTATTGTGGGCGGGTGTGGTGGTGGTGTGGTGGTGGTGTGGTGTATGGTGGTGTGGTGGTGTGGGGGGTGTGGTGGTGTGGGGTAGGTGGCTGGATGTGGTGGTGGTGTGGGTGTGGTGGTGTGGGGAGGTAGCTGGATGTGGTGGTGTAATGGTGTTGTGAGGGGATCATTCTACCGACTACTGGTATAATTCCACAATATAATTCCACACAAATTCACACCACACATCAAAAGTCCTACACCACTTGTTGACACACATTAAGGCTGATATATACGACTTTCATTCATGATGCTCATTAAATTTCAATAACTAAACACCAGGTGAGCAATATTTTACAGGTGTGTAATAATCATAATGCTCTTGGTTTACTCAGCGTGGGTTGAAGTCTCCCCTGTGCCCCATTGTTCCTGTGAGGTAATGTTTAAGGCTTAAGAGATTACTGTAATACATGGATTACTGTAATACATGGATCACTGTAATACATGGATCACTGTAACACATGGATTACTGTAACACATGGATTACTGTAACACATAGATTACTGTAACACATGGATTACTGTAACACATGGATTACTGTAACACATAGATTACTGTAACACATGGATTACTGTAACACATGGATTACTGTAACACATGGATTACATTAACACATTGAGCAGTAGTAGTTACCAATAATTTCTTCTGACGGATATAAGGATTAATTAACTGTTCTGCCTTTTACTGTCTCATAATCGTTTCAATATTTTGTTTAAGTAAATGACAAGAGCTTCTAAACCCTCACTTGGGATAAGAGGTTGAGGCGATAACACTCCTTGAGAAGGAAGGAAGGAAGGAAGGAAGGAAGGAAGGAAGGAAGGATGGAATAGACAGTGGTAATAGGATAACACTTAACAAGTCAATGATAGAGAAAACATGGTATTCTTGACCTGCCCCTTGAGTACTACACACAGCAGCTGCCCCTTGAGTACTACACACACCAGCTGCCCCTTGAGTACTACACCACCAGCTGCCCCTCAAGTACTACACACCAGCTGTCCCTTAGTACTACCAGCACTTGCCAGGTACTACACCAGCTGTCCCTTTAATTACTTCACACCAGCTGCCCTCGAGGTACTACACACACCAGCTGTCCCACATAGTGCTACACACACTATTTTGTCCTTGGTGCTACACACCAGCTGTCCTTGGTGCTACACCAGCTGCCCTCGAGTACTACACCTGTGTCCCAGTGCTACACACTGGCTGTAGTGCTACACCAGCTGTCCTTGGTGCTACACACACCAGCTGCCCAGGTGCCTACACACACCAGCTGCCCAGTGCTACACCAGCTGCGGGGAATAGGGCACAGGCGGGCGGGTAGAATGGAGACCTGGTGAGGAGGCCTGGTGGGAGGCCTGTGTGGTGAGGGGAGGCCTGGTGAGGGGGAGGCCTGGTGAGGCCTGTGGTGGGGGGCCCTGGTGAGGCCTGGTGAGGCTGGTGGGGAGGCCTGGTGGGGGCCTGGTGAGACCTGGTGAGAGGGGGCCTGTGTGGGAGGAGGCCTGGTGAGCCTGGTGAGGCCTGGTGAGCCTGGTGAGGGAGGCCTGGTGAGCCTGGTGAGGCCTGGTGAGGCCTGGTGAGGCCTGGTGAGGCCTGTGAGAGCCTGGAGGCCTGGTGAGGCCTGGTGAGGCCTGGTGAGGGAAGCCTGGTGGGGGAAGCCTGTGGTGAGGGAAGCCTGGTGAGGAAGCCTGGTGAGGAAGCCTGGTGAGGCCTGGTGGGGAAGCCTGTGGTGGGGAAGCCTGGTGAGGCCTGGTGAGCCTGGTGGGGGAGAAGCCTGGTGAGCCTGGTGAGGCCTGGTGAGGCCTGGTGGGGGAGCCTGGTGAGGCCTGGTGAGGCCTGGTGAGCCTGTGGTGAGGCCTGGTGAGAGCCTGATGAGTGGGAAGCCTGGTGAGGGAAGCCTGGTGAGCCTGGTGAGAGCCTGGTGGGAGGCCTGGTGAGAGGAAGCCTGGTGGGGAAGCCTGGTGAGGCCTGGTGGGGGGCGCCTGGTGAGGTGCCTGGTGAGCCTGATGAGACCTGATGGGAAACCTGGTGAGCCTGAGCCTGAGCGGGGGAAGCCTGGTGGGGGAGGCCTGGTGAGGGAGGCCTGGTGAGGCTGGTGAGGCCTGTGGTGAGGAAGCCTGGAAGGTGAAGGATTAAGTGATGTGAAAAAACATTTTGTACCATTACAGGAAATGTTTGGAGGTTATGGATATTCATGGGGGGCAGGTAGGCGCGCGCACACACACACACACTAATCAATTTATCATAAATTATCTCAACAGTCTCCCCCTCATCACCCCCCCTTGTATGTCGGTGGGGGGGGGGGGGATCAATTTGCATACATCATCATGTAAGTTGCACCGTAAAAGCAACACAACAAAAAAACGAAAAACAAAAAATTATACTGAAAATTTACGTCGGTGTTTATTAAAAACAGCGATGACGTGTTTAATTTACATCAATCACCCAGGTGTAATAATTAATTGCAACTATATTCATATTTTACCTTATTAATAGTTTTATTGTTATTATTCTAATCCTACAGTGACAGTGAAGCCCTCTGGTGGCAAATGGCTCAACTGAACACTGTGATGTGTTTGTTTACCTGTGAAATAAACAAGACAATATCACCATCCGTCATGATTCATAACTAGGGTTGCCAAATCGCATTTATTTGATATATTTTTCACTATTTTCACTGTCGAGTTTATCACAATTTTTTAAACAAAAGGGTAAATAAAACGTGAGGATTTTTCCCTACATTTTTCCAGGTATTTTTTCACACCTTTAACACCTGTTCCGCTTAGTTACGCCCTTACCTGTACTCATTCCCTTACCTCCTAACACACTGTATGTAACACTATAACATGGAGATTCATTCCTCCACCTAAGTCATCAACTCTTCCTCCCCCTAAGTCATCAACTCCTCCTCCTAAGTCATCAACTCTTCCTCCCCCTAAGTTATCAACTCCTCCTCATAAGTCATCAACTCTTACTCCTCCTCCTAAGTCATCAGCTCCTCCTTCCCCTAAGTCATCAACTCCTCCTTCCCCAAAGTCATCAACTCCTCACCCTAAGTCATCAACTCCTCCTCCTCCTAAGTCATCAACTCTTCCTCCTCCTAAGTCATCAACTCCTCCTCCACCTAAGTCATCAACCTCCACCTAAGTCAGTCATCAACTCCTCCACCTAAGTCATCAACTCCTCCACTAAGTCATCAACCTCCACCCAAGTCATCAACTCCTCCACCCAAGTCATCAACCTCCACCTAAGTCATCAACTCTCCACCCAAGTCATCAACTCCTCCACCTAAGTCAACAATCCTCCTCCTAAGTCATCAACTCTTCCTCCTCCTAAGTCATCAACTCTTCCTCCTCCTAAGTCATCAACTCCTCCTTCCCCTAAGTCATCAACTCCTCCACCTAAGTCATCAACTCCTCCACCTAAGTCATCAACTCCTCCACCTAAGTCATCAACTCCTCCCCCTAAGTCATCAACTCCTCCTCCTAAGTCATCAACTCCTCCTCCTAAGTCATCAACTCCTCCACCTAAGTCATCAACTCCTCCCCCTAAGTCATCAACCGCAAACGTGAGTAAACAAAACACCTCACATTAACGACTTGTTAAATGAGTTGTTGAAGGATAATGATAGAGACTTGACCTCATATTCCTGCCTCATTAACCTCTAAAGTGCCTGAACAACCTTAATCACAGGTACCATTTTTCTAAAGGTAGGTTTTATGGATCATTAGAGTCGTGGTCACTTATTAGTACCATATGATTAACAGCCTTGTCAACGTAAAGTCTTGGTCTCAGGCATTAAGTGGTTATAACTCTTGCCTCTGAGGTCAACATTAACCCCGTAAATCAAGTAAAACAATAACATCATTTCCCCCCCTTAAACATTAACCCCCATAAACCACATATAAACATTAACAAAAACTGGTTATAAATCACAAGACGTATTTCTACAGTGACCTTTACAAAGACGGCCTGACACACACACACACAAGAACAGACGGGAAAACAAACACACAGACGAACAAAGACACTATATAACCCCATAATTATTCACCTCATTAACAAAACCTTTCCGACAAATACCCAACTTCATCTCGTAACTTTTATACAATATCAAAACACACGAAAAAAACTAAGTAACGTTTGGAGTCCACCAGACCTTCAAAAGATATATATATCAATTCTCTTATACTACTCTTATCAAACGACACAGACGAGACACTAAGGAACAGCCAACACCCAGAGCTGCCCCCCCCCCACTCCCCCTCCTGAAGGATTGCCATTTGGGGACATTAATGTGTTTATATTTACTATGCTGGGAGGTGAGCTCTGGTGGTGGAGGGTTGTGGGTAAATAACTGAGTGTGTAGATGTACACTCTCTCTCTCTCCCCAGTCAGTGGAAATAAAACCCACTGACAAACACGAAATACTCCACACAGTCCGACAAACAGACTAAACTAATTACGACATTTCACATAACTTTTACAATATACGTAAAACATCGTAACTTATAAATGTTTAATAATAAATATTCAGTAACACAAACAAACTCATAATTATATCAAATCTCTTTAAGATCTTATAGTGAAAGTCTTGATATATGTTTAAAAAATTATAAACGAGAAACAAATAATCAAATAACCAATGTATCTTACCTCGTTTACAGTACGAGTTTAACAACAACAACAACAACAACAACAACAACAACAACACCAACACCACCACCAACAACAACAACAACAACACCAACAACAACAACAACAACAACAACAACACCAACATTATCTCCCAAACAAAAACTAAACACACTCGAGTAAAACTTATATTATCCGACACCTTCCGGATATTAATGGTACCGAAGTAAACATTGTACCGGCTACCAGTACGTCTTTTTTAGATAATAATACTGGAAACTTCTGAGTACATTATATGGACTTTGTACTTTATTGAACTACTTTTAATACTTTTTAGTTATACAAAATACTGTATAAAATAGCTAAAGTATGTCAGGAAAATGTACCTGTCAAATAAAGGTAAAAAGATATGTATTTGTTTGGGGAAATAATGACAATTCCGGATACAAGAGCTTAGCGGTTTGTTAAATACAGGATAACAGAGAGAGAGAGAGAGAGATAGAGAGCTGTTACGGTACATGTGGAATAAATGACAGGTATTTTTTCTAGTACCTGTAACTCTTATAATGATAAATACCAAAAACTTCTCCTGAAAACTAAGTAAAATTTATGAAACTCGATAATCCAGGATGTTTTTAATTTATTATATATTTTTAATGTATTTATCTACTAGTGATTTTGTTATTAATATCTCTATCGTTAAGTAACCTAATACAACAACCATTAAAAATTGAGTTAATTCTGCATAATAAATCGATATGATAAAAATTTCCACTGGATTGATAATCACATGCACCCTCCATTCACCACCTCCTCCTCCCCTCACACCTGTAAAACAACACCTGGGGTTTACCTGGTCCACGGGACGACCTTGCCGTTCTCGAAGCTGGAGCTGCGGATGTCATACCTGATGCTGATCCTCCGGTGATTACGAACCTGTTCCGTGAACTTCGTAGTCTCGTCCATGATGACTAGTGAGGACTTCTTGAGGACTTTCTCTTGAGGACTTACTTCTTGAGGACTTTCTCTCGAGGACTCACATAACTCACAAATAATGAGGCGACACAATGAACACTACAATCGTAACTTATTTTCTTCACAAACATCAACAGTAACTAAAGGGACCACTATTTCCCCTTTAACTCTAGATCACAACAACACTTAATAATTTATCACTAACAGGAGTAATAATCTTCTTCACTACACCTGGTCACTTGTCTTCACGCACCACTACTCCTGGTCACCGGTCTTCACGCACCACTACACCTGGTCACCGGTCTTCACGCACCACTACACCTGGTCACCGGTCTTCACGCACCACTACACCTGGTCACCGGTCTTCACGCACCACTACACCTGGTCACCGGTCTTCACGCACCACTACGCCAGATCACGTATGTAACACTGAAAGATCCTTATTATGAGTTCTTATTTCCTCACCACACTGGCGACGGTCACCCACACATTTACTAAACAACTATTGGATCTCTTAAACACCATCACTAATCACCACAACGGGAGGAACTATATATATATACAAGTATCACCTTCCCTCGCTATCACCACCACGACAGAGGGAGTGAAGCATCTTTACTCACACTAAGAACACAACACTAAGACTCCCATTAAATGTTACAGTTTTAATTTAATCACTGAATCCGTCTCGTCTCTCAGTTTGTCTCCCGTCTTCCAAAATCCAGCTCTCGGGAATGGATGCTGGAAGGGGTGACAATCTTTCTCTGTCTCTCTATCTCTGTGAAGTACCGGGTCGTCTCCTCATACAGCCAGAGTCGTTCCTCTCGTCTACATATGAGATAAGAGAGATAACGTCCCTCAAGACCTGGGGTGTTTCCTTGAATCTCTCTCTCTCTCTTTCTCTCACACAGTTGTTGGAGGTCGACCACCACACAAGAGGGAGCTATAGCATGCTGGCGTCACGTATCTCCAAATGTAAATAGAGAGAGAGACACACACACACTCACTCACGTTGAAACATAACTTGATTTCGTATCAGGATCAACATTTTTCCTTCTGTTTCAAGATACATCGATTACCATCTCATAATATTACACTATAGAGACAAGTTGATGAGCATTATCAACCACCCAGATAATATAGTTCATCTTACATACTACAGTAGAATTTATATAAGGTAATATTATTTTTACATAAATTTTAACTTTTTCTTTTTATTCGTGTTGACAAATTATTCCCGTCGCACTTTGTACCTGAGGGAGTCATTGTCTCAAGAGCTAAGAGTAACATTAACACACACACACACACACACACACATACACACACACATACACACATACACACACACATCACGTACAAACATTTTCATTAGTGAGGCAAAGGAATGTTTTTTTCTTTTGTGTTTATGTAAAGTAAAACCCCACAATTACACGTCTCCGTAAATCTCTTGTTAACTAAATCTCATTAAGCTTTGAGCACAACAGTCATTCAAACACTTATTGTCTTTCAAAAGTCTCGTGTGTGTGTGTGTGTGTGTGTGTGTGTGTGTGTGTGTGTGTGTATCACCCAAATATAAAAATACAAAGTTTCATAAAAAAGTAATATATTTTGTTATCAAGACTTTTAAATTTTCTCAAAGTTAGTAATATTAAAAAAAAGTATTCTTTAAGCATGCGCCTGGTTATATTTACGGAGGTCAGGTCAGGTCAGGTCAGGTCATTTTTTTGTGTTTTTAATAAATATTCCCACAGCCATGAATTATTAAACATTTAATGTACATGACAAGCAAATATTTTACAGTTTCCATACTGTGGTATTCATTTCAATTACATATGCTACACAGGCTGTAAACAAACTCCAGTAATATAACCAACAAATTGCTCATTTTTCATCGCCTCTCCCCACATGCCGGACTGTGTGTGTGTGTGTGTGTGTGTGTGTGTGTGCGAGTGCGTGTATGTGCACCTTTACCCTCGCAAGTTTGGTCAAGGAGTAACTGCAATAATAGTAGAGTGAACAGACAGACAGACAGACAGAGACAGACAGACAGATTCATCACTGTTCTATTAGTCTTGTCCTCCCACTTACGATATCTCTTCCGTTATATACGTGATATTTTCCAACTATCGTCCCAAGTGGTAAGAGTGACGCTAAATGACCGTAGCCAATTGCGTCGAGACATACCAGTGACGCAAACGCTGTGGTCATTACGAACGACACCAACGTATAATAAGAAGTTGTAAATTTCGTTAATAATGAACAACTTACAATGTATTTCACTGTAATTCAACAAAAACTCGAATTTCCTCAGATAGTCTCCCAAAAATGCCCTGTCGCCTCTCCTCCTGAACCCCGAACCCCCGAGAGATTCAGAGTCGTGAATCCGAAGCAGTAGAGATTGATGTATTATTGTATCCATAAATGCTTCGGGTTCACGAGTCTGAATCTCTCGGGGGTTCGGGGTTCAGGAGGAGAGACGAGAGGAGCTTTGTTTGTTGACTGTACATCCCCAAAATAATAATAATAAACTAAACAAACAAACAAACAAATTAACTAACTACTAACTAACTTACTAAAAATATATAACTAAAAAAAAATATTAATGTAAATAAGAAAAAAACGAAATTAACACAACCAACGTTAACCTATATCTTTCACGTCAAAAAGTCGTAAAAGTCCTTCTCGGGAATCCTACAGTGACTGGCATCCACACCGAGTCCTTTATACAAAATCCACGTTGATGGGGGTGAATCCTCAGAGTAGTGTAAGTAACTTGGTGATGTAAGTCCTTTTGCATATCAAAGTCTGAGAGAGTTTTCCAGCTAAGCCTTCAGAGGAGGAGGGGAAAGGGGGGGGCGGAAGAGGAGGAGGCAGATAAAGAGGAGTAGCAGGTAGATATGGGAAAGTATGAGAAAAAAAGGAAGAGGAAACAGAAGAAGGGGGGAAAGCAGGAAGAGGAGGAGGAGGAGGGATGAAAAAAAATGTTGCAGCTCCCAGAAACTTCAGTATAAAAGAACATTACGAACCTAAACTATTTACAACATTTCCAATAATCACAGCAACACACCGAACCCTTCCCGATACAAGACAAAACAAAAGTTCCTGAGTCTTGGTTTAACACTCACAGGAGCCAAAACGTTCCTCTAACAACAAAAAAGAATGGAAAATCCTACAGTAACTTCAGGATAGGGAGTAAGTAATACTTGCCCCAACTTTCCCCTCACTAACCTAACCTAACCTGACCTGACCTGACCTGACCTAACCTAATTTATAGTACTTTAGTCTCTATTCTCTCTCACTACCTCTACTTTATGCCTCTCACCATCTCCACCTCTCTCTACCTCTCTCTACCTCTACCATCCACTAACCTCTTCTGCTCTTCTCTACACCACTCTCGCATCCCTACAATCTTCCTCCTCCTCTTCTCATCCTTATCATCCTCCTCCTCCTCCTCCTCCTCCTCTCATCCCTATCATCTTCTTCCTCCTCCTCCCCTAGTTCGTCTATCCCATTAACCAGCGATAAATAATTGGTCTTTAAACCCTTCCTCAGCCTCACTTTCTAACCATCTACCATAAAGCGAAATCGTCTGAGCACAAGAGAGTCAAGTTTCCTTCCTAAAAATACATTGTTTTTTTCCAACTGGTCTCAAGACTTATTGACATCGAGGTCATTAGTGTAGTAGAAAAAAATCATATTTCAATTATCTGGGAGAAGGTATCATGATGTGGCTCCTTCCAGGTACACACACACACACACACACACACACACACACACACACACACAATCAGTATTATTCCGCCTTGTTTAAGACTGATCAGCTGAGCGATTCTAGAGATATAACGAGCAATAACCCTTCAACAAAATTGCAACATCTCTTGAGTGGACGGTACCAGCTATATTGCAGTTGAACTAGATTAAGTTGGTGCATAGGGGAGGAGGATTGGAGAGGGGGAAGGGTAGGAAATAGGGAGAGGGGGAAGGGGGAAAGAGAAGAGGAATATGGAGAGAAGGAGAGGAGTGGGGTAGGGTCTAGGGATAGGAGGAGGGTGAGAGAGGTAGGAGGAAGAATAGGAAGAACAGAAGAGGAGGAAGGATAGGAGGGTTCTGTGTAGTTTAGGACGGATCACTTCGGCAGGTGAGGAGGTGGAAGGGACAAGTTGAAGATGACCAGTGAAGGTATAGACAAGGTAACTTCAGGTACACAACACACACACACTCCACCTCGAATCAAGTCTCACCCTCCTTACTCGAGTATCACCTTAACTGGAGGAACAACACATATAACACCCGTTAAGAACAAACATCAAGGAAGAACAGAGAAAAGAACAGTTGAAAGAGGATCATGGAAACCAAACTACACGGTAAAGCAGAATCAAGGAACCAAGCCTTAGACAGTATATTATAAATAGTCCCAAAAATGTAAATAAAAAAGTAAAAAAAAAAAAAAAGTTTGTGTGTAAAAATTTCAAGGATGATAACAGGAGGGGAGATAGGGGGGGAAGGAAGAAGGGAGAGGGGGAGGTGGGGGAAGGAGAGAATTGTAATTAGAGTTAAATGTAGAGAGAAAAATTAATTCCTTCTGACATTCATTGAAGATAAAAGGTAAAGTCTGTAATTAATTTCTGGATAGATTCCCTGAAGGACCGTGGTTAAATAGGAGACTTTAATGTGGTGGTGGTGGAGGGGTGGGGTGGGTCGGGTGGGGTGGGTGAGGATGGGGTCGGGTCGGTCAGGTCGGTCAGGTCAGGTCAGGTCAGGTCAGGTCAGGTCGGTCGGGTCGGTCGGGTCGGGTTCATCACACAAGCGAGATACGACTCCTAATAATCGTTATCATGTTGAATCTGGATCATGCCTTTACAATGCTCTAGCAGGATATACTGTACGTACAAACTAGCATCACCTAAAGACTAACCCCCAGTTTATTTCACCATTATCCCCCAGCTAAAAAAAAACATACCACATGACAAACTGAAGCCCCTAAGTACAGT